GTGGCTTTGGTGGGCACCTGGTATTTTGGCCGGGGTCAACCCACCACAGAAGTTTTGTATTTTGAATACAAAATAGGTGGAAACTGAAAAAAGTGGAGTACATCTGTGGCTTTTTATTAGTGATGAATTTGAGTAAAGAAAACAAGTAGATGGGCAACAAAGACAGAGTGAGAATTGAGAAGTTCAGCACTACAACACCTAGCTCTAAGGAGGTGCCTTTTTGCCTCGAAGGATCCTCAGCCTCAAGCTAGGACCTTACTAATTCCTGAGGATTATAGGACACGGTTTGTGGGGTGATGCAGAGCCTGTTAAATTGGTAAGTCTGGGGGGAAAGTGCTTTTGTATTTGCAAGCCCTGAAATAGAGATAGCAGCCTCGAGGCTAAGTGCAGGCTGAGAGTAATTGTTCAGCAGGACAGTAAAACATCTCAGAAGGTCGTTCACAGAAGGCATAATTTTTGGTCCTGCTATCCAAAAATAGCAAGGTGCTTATCTCTGCACTTGGTATCCAGCTATGGCTCTTTGACTTTGGACTGTAAGGTGAGGTCAGTCTTGCTGAAAAGAAACTAGAAAGAGCTGCTTCCTCTGTAACAGTTCAGTGCATAATGCATGTAGCTGGGAGGCAAACGACTCGTTTCCAGATTCCCACTCTACTGATTGTTGAGAAAAGACAGAAATTCAGGTCTCCCAGAACTCCAGCATGTATTCCTAACCATCAGAATATTAGACATTCTAAACCCATTTTCTCACAGTCCTTTAGGTTGAAATCATTTCATTTTATATAAATAATCATCTTTTAGATGAGGCATTTGAGCTGCAGTTTTTCCCCATGAGAATGTCATAAACCCCCAATTGCAGAGCCAGTTAGACACTCGGTCTGTAACTACTTAATTATTCATTTGTAATTTAAAAAGCCTTAAAGGAGACACCAAGACAGATTTTCCCAGAATACTGAGCAGCCTTGTAGTCAGGGACACTTTCCTGGGAGGTGGGAAATGCCACTAGACACTACTGTCCGAAGTAGGTAGAGGGAGATTTCCAGTTCTTCCAATAGTGTTAACACTTTGCAGGATAAAATGGTACAGTGGGACATTTCCTCTAGATCCTAACACATTTCTTTTTTGGCTTCACCTAGTCAGTGAGCTTTGAGAACCCATACTGGCTGGGCCCTCCAGAAAGGACAGGAAAAATACTTAGTGGGGCAATGTGCAGATGATGGCTCAGTGGCCTTGTTTTATGTGCATTGGGACATGCTCCATGGAAGAAAGTTAGATGCCAGAGGGCCTTCAGGCACACTGCAAGTGTAGATGATGAAACAGTGTTGTTTTGGAGTCCTTCTGTACAGCTACATGTCATTTAGCTTGAAAATCCATTCCAAAACACTTATTCTAAAGTAGGTGCATTCCTGTACCTATTTTACAAATTTTCTGCATTTCAATCAGCACTTGAAACACCTTTTTTAGAATACAGTGCATTTGTTTCTTTTTTTACAGGAGGCATCAGTAAACTATTAATATTCATCAGTACTTTGAGAGATATTGACAATTATAAAACAGAGGAGCTCCTTTGTTTCTGAGAGCCATGTGTTGGTTAATGTTAATGCTTGAATGACAACTATATTATCCTGTATGAATTTGAGTATAGAATATATAAATCTATCAACTAGTTATACATTATCTCAGAAATGTGGTAACACAGGACTCAGACTATGAACAAAGTTGTGATAACAAAATATTATCATTATCGACTTGGGATTAGTCCTTGCTGACAAACCCTATTTACATCATCAAAGTTATTCTGAAGGAGTACTAATTCTGTCTGGTCTCTCAAAATTATAGTATTTATATATATTACTAATTTACCAAAATAAGCACACATTTCTTTTAAAAACTGTGTATATGTTTTATTTTATATTTTATTTCACCCGCAATGAATATGTTGGTCTTGTTACCTGTTATTCGGTTACAGGCATGTCTCCCTCCTAATGGTATAAAGTTAACATTTTTATGCTTAATGCATCACACGATGCCATCTGACATGAAACATGGACTACCATGCCCTGGTGGGTCCTTCTGTGTTTCTGGAAATAAACTGCATTGTCAACAGCATCTTTACCCTTACGCATATATAATTTGCCTACATTGAACACAGTTATACACAGTCTTACATAACCTGATTTTTAAAATCTTCTGCTTAAACTCAGTTTTGGAAAGTCAAGTTTAAAAGATGCCAGGTCCCACTCCGCAGTAAAGGGCTGAGTGATGTACTGTTTATAACTTAATTCCTTCTGATTCTAACTTAATTTACTGTGACATCTTTTAGATGTGGACAACCTGAGAGTCCTGTCTTTTTCTATGGATGAATAAAAAGCCATTTTACTCAGCCTTAACATAGTATTCACTTGGGTTCAGCTGTGTAGTAATATTTTTCTGACCTTTACACAAATTTCAGAGTTATAAAAAGGAAAGTCAGGAAGAAATAACTCACAGGCTGTCCAGGCTCATCTCCTCCCAGGATCCTGAAGCCAAAACCAGACTCCATTCTCCGAAGGTGAACATCCAGCTCCTTGTAATCGGGACCTGGTTTAAAGGGAAATCCCACTGAGCAAAGCATTTTGGCTTTGTCTTGAGAATTTGCACCATCTTCCCTCCCACCTTGTGTTCATTGCACATGAGTAATGGCATCCTGGTTAGAGCTGGTGGAAACAAATGGGACACAATGTGTTGTACACAGACAAGAAAGAGACTTGCAAATGTAGGTATCTCTTGGAGGATGATTATGTTCAGTAGAACAGACTAAACCAAGCTGGAATACATTCACTCAAGAACAGTACTGGAAAAGTCTGTCCAAAACAGAGGTTATAAAGGTGCCTTCTTCCTACAACTGACTGCAAAATATACTGCTGTTCATCCACCTCTGGTATTTAATTTGTGTTTTTCTTGCTGTTCATTAAAACCTAAAGAGAATAAACTGAAATGGGAGATAGAGATACACAGAAAAATTATCAGTCCAACTTACAAAAAATGAATCATCATTACAGGCCATTTTAGTTCCATATACAGGTATAAAGCAGTACGTCTTTTTATGTAATGTAGCTTTTAAGTACTCCACTTTCAGGTAATACTCTCAATCAAAGACTTCTGACAAAAGCTATCATTATAAACCTTTGAATCTTAGGGTTTAAATTGAAAGCTAACATCATTAACTTGAATTCCTTAATGCTACTCAATTAAGTCTCAACAGCTTTCTGAATCATTAAGATTGTGCTTCCATATGCCTGCATAACTTGTCTGTAAACATACATTCTGCCCTGGAATATATCAGTTCAGAAATGCAGTGGTTTTTAAAAATCAGTTTCTCATAAAAGTGTCTTTAGCTTCATTTGAAAGTGCCCATTGTTTTGGGTCTCGATGCCCTCAAAATACAAAAGAGAAATACTGAATAAAATTTCAGATAGTATAAAGTGAAACTGTAAGCAGTTAGAGGATTCAGAAGTTGTCTATTTGACTATTGCTTTGTCTGCATGTTCAGAGATGCTTTAGGCACCTAAAGCAGGACAGTGATTAAGAGGAATGGTCTTTCCTACAGATTGCACTCTGGTCTATAAGTTGTGACAGTTTTTGACAAGTGGGTTGTTGCCAAGTCCAACAAACAAAAAAGGATGAATAGGTTTTTTTCGTCAAACTGTTCATAGTGTCTCCAGTTGTGCCTTGTTTCCTCAGGAGGGGAGGGAGTACAAATGGATGAAACATGGTACTTCAGTGTCTCTGATTTAGATTCCCCTCCCAGAGCCACCAGTGGACACCTCACAAACTGCAGAGTTGGGCAGATCCCAGCTTTAGTCTGGGACTAAAGCCGATTCAGTTTCAGTGAGGTCTTGCAAAGACAGAGATGCAGAACTACGCACAGTGGCTCTATACTATGACCGTGCAATAAAAATCTTCTCTAGACAGCAGCATAGCACATCATTTCAGCAATGTATATTGATATGAGTGAGACTGAATCACAAATA